CCAGCTAAGGTTAGGAATGTGTACATTAGTGTGTGAAAATACACTGAAAATTATTTCAGAAGGACGCATCGTTTTGTTCTTTGCATTGTCATACTTGAATTGTAAGATTTAAATGCGTCTGCTCCTCTGGCTGAGGTGAGTTCTTCTTCCACATGTTGTCACTGAGTACCTTTATGCAGGATTTGCAGCTCTGCAATGTCAACACTGTCTCGTTCCATCAAACTATCTGGAAAAAGAAAATGTAATGAAGCCCACCACCCCTCCTGCCTTTGTCTGGGTCTCACTGTCACTGATGAAAATATAACGATATGTTGTTGTTGTTGTTGTTGTTGATGATTAATATGTTGATCAAAGTTGTTTAATCCACCAACACTGATTGAGAAATATGAGCAGGCTACTGGTTATCTTGTTCAGTATAAGTTGCTTGAAGAACTGCATTTTAAAATATCAACTATTCTCTAATTTGAATTTACTGTAAATCTGACGCTTAATATTCAAATATATTTATTTTTTCTGTTACACTAGTATTCAAATCTTTAATGAATATTCAAAGCTCAGTGTTTTAGCATCACTAATTTATTTATATTATAAATATAATTATCATTCAAAAAGGTACCTTAACCTACGAAGGGACTAAATCATGCAACTCAAAATAAAAATTGTAATAATTCATTATAGTTCTTACTGATATTGTCTTCTGACACAAATGCACTAATCTGAATCAATTTTACTTTTCTTTAAATTTGACGATGCATCTAAAACATCACAGGTATTGTTTATGTTACAGGTGGACTATGCTACCGTTATGTTGATATGTTGGGGGCTCTTAAAATGAGTGTTGTCTTACAAATATCAATAATCACTGTAAATATTTTTCTCTTCTTATATCATCCTTTCCAGCCTTCAAGAGATGAACGCGTCATCTGCCAATGTGACCGTGGTTTTACAGTATCGAGACTCCTTCACTAAAGCTGTGACCAAGAATGTTATTGTTGTGGTTCTCAGCATCTCCATCAACTGCATCAATGCAGGCCTCATTTACACCTTCTGCAAACACCAGGTCTGATGTGTGAACCAAGCTTTGAGTGTGTCTGATTATTTGCTGCGTGGGGCGTGTGGGCGCATCTTGTTTGGTTTTGTCCCAACTAATAAGTACGAAGTCATGTATCCATCATGTCACTGTCAGTTGCAGTCAGCAAGGAAGGGGTGATAGTAATTTTCATTCATCAAAATCACAATTTCAATGAGTTCAAGTTATTTAGCAGTTAGCTAAGTCAGGTAGCTGTTGTGACAGATACTGAGTGGCTGGAAACTATCATTTAACCTTTGAGTATATGATATGTTTCTGTTTCAAGCTTAAAGCTCAGACCTCAGACGTCCAGAGTTTATAAAGGTCTTCAAATCTGGTCTCCCTTCTCACGTCCATTTCTTCCCACCCTCCAGATCTTCTACACGAATTCTCGGTATATCCTTTTCATCCACCTGGTGGTCAACGACATGGCGCAAGTGACAGTGAGCATCATCCTGTTTGTCATTAGCTACACCATCTACAAACTCAATGTCTCCATCTGTTGCATCTTTGTCCTTCTTGCTCTGTTCACCACTGAAAACACCCCCCTGAACCTGGCCTGCATGGCGGTGGAGTGCTACATCGCCATCTGCGTCCCCCTTCGCCACATGCAGATCTGCACCGTCAAGAGGACTTTGATGCTGATTGGTTTAATCTGGACGACCAGCATGTTGTCTGTTCTCCCTGATCTCTTCATCACCTTGGCCACAGAACCACTGGACTTCTTCCATTCCAGGGTCTTCTGTCTCAGGAAAAATGTCTTCTCAAATGCCCTCATTTTCAAGAAGAGGGACATCACTTATATCATCTATCTTGTTATAGTTTGGCTTGTTATCTTTTACACTTACTTCAGAATTCTGTTCACAGCAAAGACAGCTGGCAAAGATGCTAAGAAAGCCAGAAACACAATCCTTCTCCATGGGTTTCAGCTGCTGCTTTGTATGGCAACATATACAACCCCCCTGTTGAAAGATGCTCTGAGGCAATGGTTCCCTAAGAATTACACTGACTCCCTCTTTGCTACTTATATCATAGTACAGATTCTGCCACGATCTATTAGTCCAATCATATATGGCGTACGAGACAATACTTTCAGGAAGTATCTGAAAAGGTATCTTTTGTGTAAAGTCAGTATATCCTAAGAAACCATTCAAAAGCTAAAACCTCTGTCAACTACAGGATTTAAGAAAAAAGCGGGACTTTAAGCAGAGACAGTTGAAGTGACAGCTATGGCGCCCGTATACATTTTACCATGTTGCTGCAGTAATGGAAATCAAAGATCATTAAGCAACATTTAACTCTAACAACGGCTACTTCTTCAGGAAACTGAGGTCGCTCTGAACATTGCTACAATACGCCTCTTAAAATTACCTGAGAGCTGTTGATATTTGCTTTAGAGACAATTTAATATCAAATGAAGAGTTTGTATAAATCCGTCTGTTACTTCAGCACCACGGACAGCACCATGGTTTTATAAATACACATAAAAAATCAGTCAAGTATCTTTAACAAATATACTCATAATTCATAAAACCACTAATGGTATGATTAAATATAAATGAAATGACAAAAAGTGACAACGACATGATCCAGGTGACGCTGACCGTCATGCTGTTCATCATCAGCTACACCATCTACAAACTCAATGTCTCCATCTGTTGCATCTTCATCCTTCTTGCTCTGTTCACCACTGAAAACACCCCCCTGAACCTGGCCTGCATGGCGGTGGAGTGCTACATCGCCATCTGCGTCCCCCTTCGCCACATGCAGATCTGCACCGTCAAGAGGACTTTGATGCTGATTGGTTTAATCTGGACGACCAGCATGTTGTCTGTTCTCCCTGATCTCTTCATCACCTTGGCCACAGAACCACTTTGACTTTTTTCATACCCGAGTGTTCTGTCTCAGGGAAACTGCCTTTCGTAATCCCCACATTATTAAGAAGAGGGACATCACTTATATCATCTATCTTGTTATAGTTTGGTTTGTTTATCTTTTACACTTACTTCAAGATCTTGTTCACTGCAAAGACAGCTAGCAAAGATGCTAAGAAAGCCAGAAACACAATCCTCCTCCATGGGTTTCAGGTGCTGCTTTGTATGGCAACATATGCAGAACCCCTGTTGAAAACTGCTCTGCACCTGTGGTTCCCTAAGAATTACACTGACTCCCTCTTTGCTACATATATCATAGTACAGATTCTGCCCCGATCCATTAGTCCAATCATATATGGCGTACGAGAACAAAACTTTCAGGAGGTATCTGAAAAGGAATCTGTTGTGTACAGTGAGCTCACAATGAGCATCAATTCACAGAAGAGTCAGATTCTAAAACTTTTCCTCAGTTGAGATGGAAACTACATGTTTGGTCACTGAGGCTGAATTTGTTTTTTTTGTTTTGTTTATGAAGTTACAGCAAAAAAGTTTAACTAATGATGTGTTCAAATCTGGGCTGGGTGTCCAACCTTAACACTACAGATTCTGATTCAAGTCATAATTTTCCTGACACAGGCCTGTTTGTTGAGGATTTTTCACTTGTGTAATATAATTTTTTTTGCTAACCTTTTTATATTGTTTTACTTTACAAACTAAAGATCATTATCATTGTTGATTAATCTGCCAGTTACTTTCTCAATGAATCGTTTTGTCCATAAAATGATAGTAAATAGTAAAAAAACTCATATTTGAGACTCTGATATTGTTTCAGGCAAAACACTTCAACACAGAGTTGTGGATGTACTTTAGTCGCAAGTGTTGTCATGTGTTCAAATAAAGCTTTCATTTGATTAAATTGACTTCTTTGATATTTCTGAATTAATTAAAACTAAATCTACACACACACACACACACACACACACACACACACACACACACACACACACACACACACACACACACACACACACACACATCCACACACTCCACCAGGCCACATATAAAGTCTGAGAACTTCTGGAGCCATACTGTTTGTGTTCTGGTCTAAATCACTAACTGAGGTAAGTAGCAGCATGTTCACCACACGCCAGCTAAGGTTAGGAATGTGTACATTAGTGTGTGAAAATACACTGAAAATTATTTCAGAAGGACGCATCGTTTTGTTCTTTGCATTGTCATACTTGAATTGTAAGATTTAAATGCGTCTGCTCCTCTGGCTGAGGTGAGTTCTTCTTCCACATGTTGTCACTGAGTACCTTTATGCAGGATTTGCAGCTCTGCAATGTCAACACTGTCTCGTTCCATCAAACTATCTGGAAAAAGAAAATGTAATGAAGCCCACCACCCCTCCTGCCTTTGTCTGGGTCTCACTGTCACTGATGAAAATATAACGATATGTTGTTGTTGTTGTTGTTGTTGATGATTAATATGTTGATCAAAGTTGTTTAATCCACCAACACTGATTGAGAAATATGAGCAGGCTACTGGTTATCTTGTTCAGTATAAGTTGCTTGAAGAACTGCATTTTAAAATATCAACTATTCTCTAATTTGAATTTACTGTAAATCTGACGCTTAATATTCAAATATATTTATTTTTTCTGTTACACTAGTATTCAAATCTTTAATGAATATTCAAAGCTCAGTGTTTTAGCATCACTAATTTATTTATATTATAAATATAATTATCATTCAAAAAGGTACCTTAACCTACGAAGGGACTAAATCATGCAACTCAAAATAAAAATTGTAATAATTCATTATAGTTCTTACTGATATTGTCTTCTGACACAAATGCACTAATCTGAATCAATTTTACTTTTCTTTAAATTTGACGATGCATCTAAAACATCACAGGTATTGTTTATGTTACAGGTGGACTATGCTACCGTTATGTTGATATGTTGGGGGCTCTTAAAATGAGTGTTGTCTTACAAATATCAATAATCACTGTAAATATTTTTCTCTTCTTATATCATCCTTTCCAGCCTTCAAGAGATGAACGCGTCATCTGCCAATGTGACCGTGGTTTTACAGTATCGAGACTCCTTCACTAAAGCTGTGACCAAGAATGTTATTGTTGTGGTTCTCAGCATCTCCATCAACTGCATCAATGCAGGCCTCATTTACACCTTCTGCAAACACCAGGTCTGATGTGTGAACCAAGCTTTGAGTGTGTCTGATTATTTGCTGCGTGGGGCGTGTGGGCGCATCTTGTTTGGTTTTGTCCCAACTAATAAGTACGAAGTCATGTATCCATCATGTCACTGTCAGTTGCAGTCAGCAAGGAAGGGGTGATAGTAATTTTCATTCATCAAAATCACAATTTCAATGAGTTCAAGTTATTTAGCAGTTAGCTAAGTCAGGTAGCTGTTGTGACAGATACTGAGTGGCTGGAAACTATCATTTAACCTTTGAGTATATGATATGTTTCTGTTTCAAGCTTAAAGCTCAGACCTCAGACGTCCAGAGTTTATAAAGGTCTTCAAATCTGGTCTCCCTTCTCACGTCCATTTCTTCCCACCCTCCAGATCTTCTACACGAATTCTCGGTATATCCTTTTCATCCACCTGGTAGTCAACGACATGACGCAAGTGACGCTGACCATCATCCTGTTTGTCATCAGCTACACCATCTACAAACTCAATGTCTCCATCTGTTGCATCTTCATCCTTCTTGCTCTGTTCACCACTGAAAACACCCCCCTGAACCTGGCCTGCATGGCGGTGGAGTGCTACATCGCCATCTGCGTCCCCCTTCGCCACATGCAGATCTGCACCGTCAAGAGGACTTTGATGCTGATTGGTTTAATCTGGACGACCAGCATGTTGTCTGTTCTCCCTGATCTCTTCATCACCTTGGCAACAGAACCACTGGACTTCTTCCATTCCAGGGTCTTCTGTCTCAGGCAAACAGTCTTCTCAAATCCCCTCATTATCAAGAAGAGGGACCTCACTTATACAGTGTTTCTTGTTATAGTTTGGCTCGTTATCTTTTACACTTACTTCAGAATTCTGTTCACTGCAAAGACAGCTAGCAAAGATGCTAAGAAAGCCAGAAACACAATCCTCCTCCATGGGTTTCAGCTGCTGCTTTGTATGGCAACATATACAACCCCCCAGTTGAAAGATGCTCTGAAGCAATGGTTCCCTAAGAATTACACTGACTCCCTCTTTGCTACTTATATTATAGTACAGATTCTGCCACGATCCATTAGTCCAATCATATATGGCTTACGAGACAAAACTTTCAGGAGGTATCTGAAAAGGTCTCTGTTGTGTAAAGTCAGTGTATCCAAAGCAACAATTCATGGATTATAATTAAAAGCAAATCAAAAAAGCTAAAACTTCCCTGCAACTCAAAACTGAAATGTGTGTATATGGTATCATTGCCACACTCAACAGATCAGAGGAAGTTACCTCTTCTGTCACTTCAGACTGATGTGGTACAAGTTCTTGTTCAGTGTCCAAACTAATTTTTCACTTCATTGAAAGTCCCTTTGGTTTCATGTATGATTTAAATAAACTTGATGTGTTGTGTTGGGCAGTGGCACAGCCATAACTGAACTTCGAGGTGCGTGATTCTAAGTTTTATTTCAAATTTATTTCAAATGTCCTGATTTTAGCTCTTTTTTAAAAACAGAAGCCTATTTCATGATGATTTTCATCTTCCTTTTTTCGTGGAATCTGCAGCAATCAAAACCACTGCATGGGATATCATCAATGATCATCAATGCTAAAACATAACAAACCAATTAATTAAATCCTGTTACCTATAGATATCAGGTATCAGACAACACTGGCTGAAATACACAGTGCTGTGCAGGAGCCTTTAGATTTGGATGAGAAAATTAAAAAGTTGAGTGAAACACTGAGTTGATACTTTCAGTCATTTTCATAGGAGCTCAGGGGAGGTTGTTAAACCATATGATGGGTGGGAGGGGAGGGGGCGGGGCAGTATCACATGAAAAAATGCAAGTCAGTTGCATACCTGAACTATTATGTGACGACGCACACACACACACACACACACAGACTCACACTCACACAATCGATCTTGTAACTGGCAGATTGAATTAAAATGTATTGTTAATTAGCCAATTAGGTTTTTCTATTCATCCTTGTTGTCACCCAGACCTCTTCATTAGCCCAGCCCACAAGCCAATGTTCTAGGCTAGCCTTGATGCAAATAGTATATAACCTTGCTCTAAATGATGACCTGCAGACAGAATTGTACCACCCTGTTGTGATCGTCTGTCTCCACTGCGCAGTGAATCAAACTCATCTGAACCAGCCGCTGAATTTGGACCTGAAGGAATAATATTCATCAACATCACACTGTTTTCTTTTATTTCATTACATGAGTTTATATGTATTAATTTCAGTTCCAGTGAGTAATATAATGACTTTTAGATTTTAGATTGATGCCCTGATCGTCAGCTTGGGGTGACTTTGTCTCTAATACAGAATTGATCTTCACAAATTTTAACTCACCACACAGTTTCTTCAATGTCCAGGCATGTACCAAGAACATATATTAGTCTATTTTCAAAGCTTTTGATCTGTTTGATTGTGAAACACATGCAAACTAACTTTTTTCACATCTATCCGTGTACAGGGCAAGAAACAGTTTGATGTTAAATACTAAACTTTCCTTACAAATCAGTAGGCTGTTGGACCAGCTATGTGTAACTTCAAACATAACTTTACTGTGAACATGATCTGGGAGTGATGCACCAGACAAGTTAATTCCAAAATATAATTAAGATACAAACTTAAATTGACAGGTGTAAGTCTTTCCTTTGTTACTGTTGAACGACTAGAAAGATGGAAGAAGAAGAACAGACACTTTTGTCTCTTTCGGTGTTAATGCTGCAGAATCTTTTCACCACATGGATTAGATTTGAATTATTTATGAGCATACAGTATTTAGCTTGCTTTATTTCTGTCATCAATGTCTTTCACTCTCTATTTTATCCAAATGATGCATCAGGTCAAACCTTCTGCAGCAGTGTTTTCATCACTGTTAGTTAGTTATGAATAGAGATGGTGCAGCAGAGCAAGGCACAGAGGAAACTTCAGAGTGAAACTTGTTTCAACAAGAGGTTGGTGTTGCCTTTGCACTCATAACAAACTTTTGATCAGCTGGTTCAACAGGCTGCTAACCCTGAACAGACACACTGGTATGAATAACAATGACAGATGCAACACTAACATTAATTAACTAACCCTCATGTAGCAGCTATCTACTTTACCTTTTAACTTAAAATAACCTTTTTGTGTTTGTTGTAATAACAAACTTTCCACAAAGTACATTTTACACACTGAACTGAACCTCTTAGAACAAGTAACCACTGCTACACACAACATTTAGCACAGACTAGATGTTTACTGAGAGAAGGTGCAAATTCAAAGCTTGAATCTTGAGATCTGAAGAATCAGTAATGATCAAATTATTATGCAGTATTTTGATTTACTTCAATCAGAAATATAAAACATGTCAGATTAGTGATATTAGAGCACTGTGTTTCATTCAGTTTATTATCTTTAAAAGCATTTATCTTGCCAATGTACAGTAAGCAAAGCAATGAAATGAGGATCGGACTCAGCAGCAGGAGAGACTGTGCAAAACCTGAAAAAAAAAAAAAATCTCAACAATATTAATAGTATTATCTTTTCTCTTCTGTTAGGCTGAACTTCGGCTTTCAAGAGGCTTTCATGAATGTGTCGTCTGCCAATGTGACAGTGTCTGGTCGGGAAGCTGATTCCTTCTCTAAAGCTCTGACCAAGAATGTGATTGTTGTGGTTCTCGGGATTTCCATCAACTACATCAATGCAGGCCTCATTCACACCTTCCGCAAACACCAGGTCTGATTTTCCTTTATTGACATGCTGCCAATGATAATGAATTTATTTAAATGCTTGGTAAAAAAAAAAAATAATTACAAATTGTATTTATATCATCATCAGCTCTTCAGGAACCACAGACATACACTGAAGAAAAATGTTAAAGTAGACTTTGTGATGTCACCCCTGCCTGTCCAATATGAAAGTACAAAGAGGAAGACCTATTACTGTCATAAGTGGTCATTGTTAAGTCATGTGCGTTACTATTCAATAAAAACAACATTAAGCTTTAGATTTAGATTGTCAACAAACAGAAAAAAGATGAGGTTGAGGTCTCGCTACAGTCTGTCGCTGAGGAGAGTCAGAGACAGATCTGATCACAGTGTGGACAGAACTGAGATAAGGGAAACACTTAGTAAGACCAGGTAGAAATAAGGCCCATGGACCTGAGGTCAAAAACATGAATCTATATTGGCCAAAACTGAAAGAATATCCCTGCTGTTTTTTTCTACCTCTTTCTCCCCTTGCATGTACTATGTTTCCATCCTCCAGATTTTCTACACAAATCCTCGGTATATCCTTTTCATCCACCTGGTAGTCAACGACATGACGCAAGTGATGCTGACCATCATCCTGTTTGTTATCAGCTACACCATCTACAAACTCAATGTCTCCATCTGTTGCATCTTCATCCTTCTTGCTCTGTTCACCACTGAAAACACCCCCCTGAACCTGGCCTGCATGGCGGTGGAGTGCTACATCGCCATCTGCGTCCCCCTTCGCCACATGCAGATCTGCACCGTCAAGAGGACTTTGATGCTGATTGGTTTAATCTGGACGACCAGCATGTTGTCTGTTCTCCCTGATCTCTTCATCACCTTGGCCACAGAACCACTGGACTTCTTCCATTCCAGGGTCTTCTGTCTCAGGCAAACAGTCTTCCCAAATCCCCTCATTATCAAGAAGAGGGACCTCACTTATACAGTGTTTCTAGTTATAGTTTGGCTCGTTATCTTTTACACTTACTTCAGAATTCTGTTCACAGCAAAGACAGCTAGCAAAGATGCTAAGAAAGCCAGAAACACAATCCTCCTCCATGGGTTTCAGCTGCTGCTTTGTATGGCAACATATGTGGCCCCTCAGTTATTAAGGGTCGTGCAGCAATGGTTCCCTAAGAATTACACTGACTCCCGCTTCGCTTACTATATTATAGTGCAGATTCTGCCACGATCTATTAGTCCAATCATATATGGCGTACGAGACAATACTTTCAGGAAGTATCTGAAAAGGTATCTTTTGTGTAAAGTCCGTATATCCTAAGAAACCATTCAAAAGCTAAAACCTCTGTAAACTACAGGATTTAAGAAAAAAGCGGGACTTTAAGCAGAGACAGTTGAAGTGACAGCTATGGCGCCCGTATACATTTTACCATGTTGCTGCAGTAATGGAAATCAAAGATCATTAAGCAACATTTAACTCTAACAACGGCTACTTCTTCAGGAAACTGAGGTCGCTCTGAACATTGCTACAATACGCCTCTTAAAATTACCTGAGAGCTGTTGATATTTGCTTTAGAGACAATTTAATATCAAATGAAGAGTTTGTATAAATCCGTCTGTTACTTCAGCACCACGGCAAAAAAGTTTGGTTGAGGTGGACTCGTCCCTTCCAGTGAAATCATGAAAACATCATGTGTGTTAGCTGTTAGCAATAGCAGTTGTGGTGTATTTGTTAAACCATTTGATGGGTGTGAGGGGATGGTATCAAATCAAATGCATACCTGACACTGTATAATGTGACGGCACATAAATAAACAGACTCACATTCACACAACCAACCTTGTAATTGTTGGCACACATGCACACCCATCTATCACCTGTGTGCACACAATATCTTAACATGCAAACACACACCCCTGAATCCTGGGATGTGAGTTTAATTCAGCTCATATAAAGTCAGAGACATTATGTTGGTGTCTTCATGTAGATGCATTAATTAAGGTAAGTATCAGCTACTGTACACTGTGGTTACATATGTGAAATTTGACTCATGTTTTCATCAGTAAATTCCTTTAGCTTTTGATTCTGTATTATAATCAGCTACAGTCACCAGGTCTCTTGATTGTTCAGAATTTACATAAAATGCAAAGACAACAAACATGGGTTATAAGGACACAGGCCTGTTTGTGAGTTTTATATTAAATGACAATGTCAAATGTGATGATTCCTTCCTGTTGCAGAACTTTTTACATTTTCAGTTCCTTCATTCATATTTCTAGAACACCGTTCTGACTCTGTTGGATGAGACAGGAAGAAATTCTGTACAAATGAAATGTAAACTATTTTTAAAGCCAATGTTGATGCTGTTTTAAAAAAAAAAACATGGTTACTTTCCTGGTCACACTGTTTTTCTTTCTTCTTTAATTACATCAGTTTAAACTTATTAATTTCAGTTCCAGTGAGTAAAATAATGACTTTTAGATTTTAGATTGATGCCCTGATCGTCAGCTTGGGGTGACTGTGTCTCTAATGCAGAATTGATCTTCACAAATTTTAACTCACCACACAGTTTCTTCAATGTCCAGGCATGTACCAAGAACAGATATTAGTCTATTTTCAAAGCTTTTGATCTGTTTGATTGTGAAACACATGCAAACTAACTTTTTTCACATCTATCCGTGTACAGGGCAAGAAACAGTTTGATGTTAAATACTAAACTTTCCTTACAAATCAGTAGGCTGTTGGACCAGCTATGTGTAACTTCAAACATAACTTTACTGTGAACATGATCTGGGAGTGATGCACCAGACAAGTTAATTCCAAAATATAATTAAGATACAAACTTAAATTGACAGGTGTAAGTCTTTCCTTTGTTACTGTTGAATGACTAGAAAGATGGAAGAAGAAGAACAGACACTTTTGTCTCTTTCGGTGTTAATGCTGCAGAATCTTTTCACCACATGGATTAGATTTGAATTATTTATGAGCATACAGTATTTAGCTTGCTTTATTTCTGTCATCAGTGTCTTTCACTCTCTATTTTGTCCAAATGATGCATCAGGTCAAACCTTCTGCAGCAGTGTTTTCATCACTGTTAGTTAGTTATAAATAGAGATGGTGCAGCAGAGCAAGGCACAGAGGAAACTTCAGAGTGAATGTATTTGTATTATTACTGTTGATGTTGTATTTACTGATATCTGAACTAAGCTTGGGCGATATCCAAAATTTAATCACTAGATACACTGCAGCCCCAATATAGCATTATATCTTAAATTATTGGGGTTTTTTATATAATCACATAATCATACTACTGTATTTTATTGGAAGCAGGACAGACTGTGCAAAACTGCAAAATACTATCTTTTCTCTTCTGTTAGGCTGAACTTCGGCTTTCAAGAGATGAATGTGTCGTCTGCCAATGTGACAGTGTCTGGTCGGGAAGCTGATTCCTTCTCTAAAGCTCTGACCAAGAATGTGATTGTTGTGGTTCTCGGGATTTCCATCAACTACATCAATGCAGGCCTCATTCACACCTTCCGCAAACACCAGGTCTGATTTTCCTTTAATGACATGCTGCCAATGATAATGTATTTCTGTATATGTTATATTTATATCATCATCAGCTCTTCAGTAACTTTCAACAGTACTTCAACAAATTTCCACTCCTTGATCTTGATGCTGACAATGCACTATCAATCATGTATGCATGTATGTAGACAGAGCAGTGGCACAGATAAAAACCCCATTCAGGTTTGGCTTTGATGCCTGAATATCCTACCTGAATCAATACAATCTCAAGTCAATGCATTTACACAGACCTCAAGCTGTCCAGCAAAAACTATAAGTAGTAGTAGCAGCTGGAAAGTCTTTCCTCACAAAAAATGATTTACAAATAAATGACACCCTTTCATTGCATTGTTTCCTTTGATGTAGGCACAATGCCACATTTGTTGAAAAGTCAGCCAGCCCCGTCTAACTCATTTGTATCGAGGTCTGATCACAGTGTGGACAGAACTGAGATAAGGGAAACACTTAATAAGACCAGGTAGAAATAAGGCCCATGGACCTGAGGTCAAAAACATGAATCTATATTGGCCAAAACTGAAAGAATATCCCTGCTGTTTTTTTTCTACCTCTTTCTCCCCTTGCATGTACTATGTTTCCATCCTCCAGATTTTCTACACGAATCCTCGGTATATCCTTTTCATCCACCTGGTAGTCAACGACATGACGCAAGTGACGCTGACCATCATCCTGTTTGTCATCAGCTACACCATCTACAAACTCAATGTCTCCATCTGTTGCATCTTCATCATATTTACTGTGTTCACCACTGAAAACACCCCCCTGAACCTGGCCTGCATGGCGGTGGAGTGCTACATCGCCATCTGCGTCCCCCTTCGCCACATGCAGATCTGCACCGTCAAGAGGACTTTGATGCTGATTGGTTTAATCTGGACGACCAGCATGTTGTCTGTTCTCCCTGATCTCTTCATCACCTTGGCCACAGAACCACTGGACTTCTTCCATTCCAGGGTCTTCTGTCTCAGGCAAACAGTCTTCCCAAATCCCCTCATTATCAAGAAGAGGGACCTCACTTATACAGTGTTTCTAGTTATAGTTTGGCTCGTTATCTTTTACACTTACTTCAGAATTCTGTTCACAGCAAAGACAGCTAGCAAAGATGCTAAGAAAGCCAGAAACACAATCCTCCTCCATGGGTTTCAGCTGCTGCTTTGTATGGCAACATATGTGGCCCCTCAGTTATTAAGGGTTGTGCAGCAATGGTTCCCTAAGAATTACACTGACTCCCGCTTCACTTACTATATTATAGTGCAGATTCTGCCACGATCTATTAGTCCAATCATATATGGCGTACGAGACAATACTTTCAGGAAGTATCTGAAAAGGTATCTGTTGTGTAAAGTCAGTATATCCTAAGAAACCATTCAAAAGCTAAAACCTCTGTCAACTACAGGATTTAAGAAAAAAGCAGGACTTTAAGCAGAGACAGTTGAAGTGACAGCTATGGCGCCCGTATACATTTTACCGTGTTGCTGTGGTAATGGAAATCAAAGATCATTAAGCAACATTTAACTCTAACAACGGCTACTTCTTCAGGAAACTGAGGTCGCTCTGAACATTGCTACAATACGCCTCTTAAAATTACCTGAGAGCTGTTGATATTTGCTTTAGAGACAATTTAATATCAAATGAAGAGTTTGTATAAATCCGTCTGTTACTTCAGCACCACGGACAGCACCATGGTTTTATAAATACACATAAAAAATCAGTCAAGTATCTTTAACAAATATACTCATAATTCATAAAACCACCAATGGTATGATTAAATATAAATGAAATGACAAAAAGTGACAAAAATGTATAATTTCGATTAACTCTTTAACGTATCACAGGGTACAACAACTCAACTTTCTCATGCATGATACATATGGATCTTTCTTATGAAACAAAGCATGTGACACTATAAGTATCTTTGTTGCATTTCTGACACAGTCAATTCAACACATCAGAGGAACATTCAAGGTACCTAACCTGTCACATTTTTATAACCTAAGTCCAATTTATGTTGCAAGTTTTTTTGTACTGTTTCACACTAAATCTTGGGTTGTTTAAAATTACTTTTCAAAGTAACCTTGGTATTCATGAATGAATTGAATAAACAGTTTTTTTTATAATTTGTATTATTTGCCCTTTATTTATTGAACTTAAAAATGTCAGAAAGCCAATAACAGTACTTTTTTGAATTAACATGTTTGTAAAGGCCTGAGCTGGACTCAAACCCAGGCTGCCGCAGCAAGGACTGAGCCTTAATGGTGTGCGCTGGTGCCACCGTGAGAGGGACATTTTAAAGTTGAAACATCTCTGTACTGTTTCTTGATAGTTATCATCCAACATATACACTAATACCCATATTTCTGTGAAAAGCAATTACTAGCTGACATATTGGCCTTGACGATTTATTGGTCTAGCTCCAATATGAGGGTGTGTTTCAAATCAGCGGCACACACACATACCCAACGCACTGTCTTTATATAAACTCTTGCAAAAGCACGACGAAAGCAGATCAATCTCAGAATCTAAATTCATTGTCTGAGGTCAGTATTAAATCGTTCACTTCACTTGACTGTTTCTAATATATCAAATGAAATAGGCTTTAATATTTGAGTTTGTTCGTTCTTAGACTCTATTATTAATACTGTGTATTGTATTGCTTCTGCTTTTTAAAAAAAGTTCATCGGCTGCTGACATGAATTTCACACCTGAGGCCAACAATTTGACGGAAGCTGTAAATCACCTGGACACATTAATTACAGCCGTTGGCAGGAATGTGACTGTTGTTGTCCTCGGCATCGCCATCAGCTACATCAATGCCACCATGGTCCACACATTCAACAAACATCATGTGTGTATTTTATTAAATCCCCTGGTTTTTCTAGTTAATGAAAAAAACAAAGAGGGGGTAGTTTAGAGTTGAAAACAGCTATCCCATCTTTCTCCTTTTCTTCTCTCTCTTTTCTGCTTCTTACAAACTGGTGCTTTTAAAAGTTGTTTTACAATGTGATGGGATTCAAGTTAGTACAAAATGTTTTTGAAGTCAGCTGGTGTGTTCAAACTTCTTTGTTCCACTTTGTCATCGGATTCCTCCGACCTACTGCTCAATATCATATGTACTTTGAGCATTTCCCACAAATAAGAACTAGAAAGGTAAAACCTTTCACTTTCTCTCTATGGAGACACCATACAGTCCAGTGTTCTTTATTTACTCTATGACATTCTCTTCCAGTAGGTATAGTGTCTGTTTGATGAAGTGACCAAAATAAAAAAATAAAAAATAAAATAATGGTGGCAAAACAGAAAACAGAAACAGCCCAAGCCTGAGGTCAATTAAATAAAACCTAGTAATGAGTCTTAGGAAAATTGTGGTAGGTACAGTAATGGTTTTGGAAACATTGAATGTAGTTTAAGGTTACAAATAACAATTATTTTCATTATCAATAAATTGTTTTGTCATAAAAAGTAAGTAATTCCCCAGAGTCCAAAGTGACATGTTCAAATCTCTTGTTTTGTGTGTAAAATCCAAAGATATTCAATGTACTAACTTAATAGTTCCACTAGTTACTACAATGAAGAAAAGCAAGTTTACAAATTTACTATTATATGAGTTTAAAGTGATATAAAACTGAGAAAAACTAAATAAAAATCCTCATACTGGAGAAACTGGAACCTGAAACTAGTTGGTATTTGTGCTTGAAAAATTACTGAAACAATTTATTGACTAATCATAATTAGTTTTAATGTAGTTAGAGGTTTTCAATACACTGTTGTCTAATTGTAGATTTGTACAACACAGATCTTCAGGGTGAATGCTCGCTACATCCTTTTCATCCACTTGGTGTTCAACGACATGATCCAGCTGACAACCAGCATTTCTCTCTTCATCTTCACCTACGCCTTCCACTCCATCTACGTCTCCGTCTGCATACTCCTCGTCTTGCCAGCTACTCTCACCACACAAAACACCCCTCTGAATCTAGCTTTTATGGCAGCAGAGTGCTACATTGCTGTCTGCGTTCCTCTCCGCTATAACTACATATGTACTGTCAAAAGAACATATATTGTAATTGGCATAATTTGGGCGATGAGTTCACTTTCTGTCCTGCCGGATGTCTTCATCCTCCTGGCTACTGAACCTCTGGAGTTTTTAAATTCAAGAGTGTACTGTTCCAGGGATACTGTGTTTAGGAGCACCTACAGTCTAAAGAAGAGGGACACATCCCACATACTGTTTCTGGTAGTGGTTTGGCTCACTCTGTTCTACACTTACTTCAGAATTTTGTTTGTGGCCAAGGCTGCAAATGCAGATGCTAAAAAGGCAAGAAACACTATCCTGCTTCATGGTTTTCAGGTGCTGCTGTGTATGATGGTCTATGTGCGGCCTATGTTACTTCAGCTTCTCATATACTTGTTTCCAGGAGGTGTTAGATCCATAAAATTTGCTATTTTTACTACAATCGAAATCCTCCCTCGATTTGTTAGTCCTATTGTCTATGGGCTACGAGACAGGACTTTCAGGAAGTACTTCAAAAGGTACCTCCTATGTACAGTAACCATAAATATCCATCGAAAGACAACACTAAATGTGCCATCGTAATATAGCTCTAGAATGTATTTGTTTTACATTTATGATACCACTGATGTAGGGCTTTTTTATCGAAATATGACAATTTGTGAGAAATATTTGAACTGTAATGACTTGTTTGAATTACAACAGAGCATTTGGACTAGTTTGCCTTGTGGTGCAGCAGAGGGGGCTTTTAAACTCACTGTATGCCCTACTGACCTATCAGAACACTAAGCTAATAATAAAAAAAAAAATCACAGAAGCATCTGGGAAGCAGTGTGTGGAAGTATTTGAGGTTCTGCAGCTCAGATGACAAAATTACTGAAAAAGCAGCGGCCTTTACCTACTCTCTACAACAACTATAAATCTGATGACTTACCTGCAAGCTACAACCAAGGAGGCGCTGCTGAGGCACCATCAATTCACTCATACAATTAAAGATGATGATATATCAAAACATTATGTGTTAGCTGATATAGCCAAACCCAACCTGTCCTGTTTAAAGATGTTTTTGTCGGAGCTGCAGTATAGTGAAATACTTTTTCTAGTGACCTAAACTGCAACTAGCTAGAAAATAAATAAAGCACTGTTTTGTTTATAAATAAAAATAAATGTTTTGGTCTTTAGATTTGAATAAAATTTGTTAATTCGTTTAATTAAATTGTGGCAATCCTTCCATTTTAAACACCTACAGATCTTTGTCAAACTTAGTGAACCTAGTAAATGGGCAGATAAAGAAAATTGTTTATCTTAAACAATAAACAATTTGTTTTCTTGTTTTACAACAATCATTATATTGTTTTATTTTATGTTTAAGTTGTTTTATAATTCAGAGATATATATTTTTGTATTCTTGTTTCAGGTATAAGCGATGCTGCCACGAAACAGTCGTTCAAGTTATATTTGTATTATTATACGAAAAACAGTGAAATGAGGGACAAACTGCTTTTTTATTTCGATATTTTAAAAAATGTTGCAAATGGTCGGAAATATCACAATATTTGATATTAATGAATATGGGCCCAAGCCTACCAGCTAATGAACATAGTGGAGCATAGAGCAGCTACAGAGTCAGACATTTCCCTCAGGAGATGGTAGAGATCAAAAACAGAGATCAAAGAGAGGGAGTCCTAGACTTTTTGTTTAAATGTTAAATAATAAAGCATTTTCTTTTTCACTTGTCATTGCTATATTCTTATTCTTTGCTATTGCTTGCTCTTTAAGAAGCCAATTGATCATGGTTCAATCAGCTTTTACCTTCCCTTATAGACCAAGGGAAGGAAAAGGATAGAAATAACGGGATGGTGACAAACAATGTATCTAAGTGATTCAAAACAATGAATGGTTTTCCAAAGCAAGTAGGAGTATTTTAATTTCTTCCCTTAAAATCAAAAGAATATTCACTGAGCTCATTAAACTGTTCACACATCTAAAAAAAATACATACCTACGTCACACACACACTGTGGGTGTGTTTCAAGACAGAAATGTGCACACATGCTCTCTGAACCTGCTGTATAAATATTCTTTGCTTCAGACAGAATTGTCATGTTATGGCAGATTAATCTCCAGATCAGAATCCATCACCCGAGGTCAGTATTGAACTGTTTACTTCACTTCACTGTTTCTAAATTCATTCAACATGAAAGCAAAGTCTCAATATGCAAGTATGCACGGTTGTGAGGATGTTTGTTTCTAAATGATATTTGCAGTATTTTGTCATTATATGTTGTCTGTCTTTTCTTTTGAGACAAGTTCATCGGCTGCTGACATGAATTTCACACCTGGGGACAATAATGTAACGATGGCTTTGAATTACCGGGACACATTTGTTGTGGCTATTGGCAAGAATGTGGCTGTTGTTGTCCTCGGCATCACCATCAGCTACATCAATGCTACTATGGTCCACACATTCAACAAACATCATGTGTGTAAAATAGTATTGCTACAAAACAAAAAGTTTATTAGTTAAAGGAAGGAATATTAGTGTACTATGTGTATGATATATATATATATATATATATATATATAGAAACCATTCTCCACTCCCTTCTCTTCTTTTCTTTCCTCTCTTCTTCTGCTCTTATAACAAACAGTTGGTTTTAAACAGTCTATAACCATGTTGGAATTCTTTTTTGCATTAACCCTTTATTTTCTAGCACCTGTAACTTGCTTTATGTTCTTAACTTGAATACCAAAGGGTCTAAACATGAATTTAGCCGACAGCCTGAGTGTGAAAAAAAAGATGAGTAATTATTCAGTTTGAACCTTCAATAGCTTTTCTTAACAAAATTACTAAAGTGCAGCCATCCCTTCTATCTTTTAGTGAGTATGCACCGATGTCTGCATGCAAGACTGACAAAAGAACACCAATATCACATGACCACTAGTAAAGGCTCAATGTGCTTCATACTTAGTAAATCATTGTTTCTTCATATCACTGCAGATACACTACTGTTCTCACTCGGTTGTTTTGTAAGCAACACATGCACATAAACTTTAACATCACTTTGTGTGATCATGTTATAGTCAATTGATCGGGTCGTTCAAATATTTCTGGAACTGCATTTAATGGTACTGTCATAGTGGTTTAAGATAAATATGGATGACACATGACGCTTAAGTCCATAAGCAAAAAAGGGGAATACTTTTTTGTCATTATTGTTAGAACTATTGGGGTGAGTGTAATGACATGCTTTTTGTATGTAGGCAGAGATGAGTAATATACTGTAATCTAACCCCTAATCCCTGATTCTGCTGTTCAATACAGATCTTCAAGATGAACCCACGTTTTATCCTTTTCATCCACTTGGTGTTCAACGACATGATCCAGCTGACAACCAGCATTTCCCTCTTCATTTTCTCCTACACCTTCCACTCCATCTATGTCTCCATCTGTTGCCTCCTCATCTTGCCGGCCATCTTCACCACACAAAACACCCCTCTGAATCTAGCTTTTATGGCAGCAGAGTGCTACATTGCTGTCTGCGTTCCTCTCCGCTATAACTACATATGTACTGTCAAAAGAACATATATTGTAATTGGCATAATTTGGGCGATGAGTTCACTTTCTGTCCTGCCGGATGTCTTCATCCTCCTGGCTACTGAACCTCTGGAGTTTTTAAATTCAAGAGTGTACTGTTCCAGGGATACTGTGTTTAGGAGCACCTACAGTCTAAAGAAGAGGGACACATCCCACATACTGTTTCTGGTAGTGGTTTGGCTCACTCTGTTCTACACTTACTTCAGAATTTTGTTTGTGGCCAAGGCTGCAAATGCAGATGCTAAAAAGGCAAGAAACACTATCCTGCTTCATGGTTTTCAGGTGCTGCTGTGTATGATGGTCTATGTGCAGCCTATGTTGATTCAAGCTTTCATATACTTGTTCCCAAGAGGCGTTAGTTCAATAGCATTTCTTTTGTTTATTATAAACCAAATCCTCCCTCGCTTTGTTAGTCCTATTGTCTACGGGCTACGAGACAGGACTTTCAGGAAGTACTTCAAAAGGTATCTGTGTACATTAAACAAGCGTCCAAGTGTATGAAACAGATCAAAACAATTGGTAATGCTAAGCCCAGCTTCAGAAAACAAGCATGGGGTTGAATCACACAATCAAGGAGAGGGTTTGCAGATTGTTAACTCTAGAGTCTCATCCAGACGACTGTGATTAGTAAAATAATGGTCCATCACTACACTGTATGAAGTGTCTGATGAAACTGTCCAGCCTCACGAGATGATAACGGATAAGTGTCAGTGTGTATCTGCTGTAGGCTGTTATGGTCCCCATCTGATACTAGTGACAACCTATTATCATATTGAATGCAGTGATCAGAGATCCCAGCTAAAATTTGATTTTGAATTTTTTCTGCCACAGACGTCATGGCCTCTGAAGTGATCGAGGGTAAAGTTAATCTCACTGTAATATCAGCTACCTTGCCTTCACCCAGACATTATCTTTTTTATTTATTAATTTTTGGTTTTAGTTTATGGTTCTGCTGTTAAATTTTAAAGATGAATGGAGAGAGAAAAAGGACATTTTTTATTAACCTGGCCACTATGTTTTCTTTGCAATGAAAATATTTTTTCATTATAACCATTTCATCTAAAACATACATCTCTTTAAATTAATATGGATTAATTAAATTTACGTTTTCATTAAAGAGATGTGATTGTTCCATTAAAATTCATTTATTAAAAATTCATCTGTGTTTAATTTAGTTTTAAGACCTAATTTCAGCACTATATGTCATAGTCAGGGTTCCTCAATAGCTTTGCCATGCATGAGAACAAATCCCCAGCGATACATCAGTACTACTGTCTCTTAGTACTCCTATATGGAGGACAGACTATTAGATGAAACATTTTCCAAGGGCTAAAACTCAATTATTATTATACTCCTATAAATATTGTTTTTTCTTCAAAGGGACACAATGGCCATTCAACTAACTCATTTAGATTAAGGGGAATTTTAAAGCTGCTCTGTGGGGTTTTCTTGGAAAAAACAAAACTAGTGTGTCATTCTCTTCACTGCCTTTGCTGGTGTATTACTGTATATTATTGCCATCTGTGTATCATAGGACTAGTATAAAACCATTGGTAGGACTAGGGCTGGGTGATAAGTTTTAATCAAATTTTTTTTAATAATATTATTATTGCAATATACATTTAATACCATTAATGAGTAAGAAAACACATTCAACATATTTGTGAGACCTCAAGAATGATTTTAAGTAAACATCACACTAAAGATCAACATGCAGAGTGGTACTGGCAGTTGTATTTACTTTAATGCGGCACATATAAATAAAAAATAAAAAACCTGCTTCTGTACCCATCTGTGACTCAAAGTATAGCCACAGCCTCAATTGTGCGTGATTTTAAGTCTTAATACAATTTAAATGAGTGAGTTATATTAAAATTCACCCCCTGTACAGTTGTCATGAAGGTGGAAATTGACAATACCTCTATTGGCAGATCCTCAGCTGTGAGTAGCAGTGCATTTATTTGAAAGCAGAATGGAGAACAAAACCC